GATAGCAGGTTTAGGATTGTTAAGGGTCGATTATCGGGTCATGACTGTGTTAAAGTTCAGCCTGTTGCTGTTTGTCATTGAAGACGTGTCAGAGCAGGACGCCATCAAACAGAAACCCTTCAGTCCGTCGTTACCAAGTCACTAAACCGTCACAGGTTAGTCTGTGGATGGAAGTCATGACAACGTGCAGCTTGTCACCAGTAATGTATCTGGAAAAAAACAGACTCTTTGGACCAAACTGACGGTTTCCATTTTATTAAATCGTGTTTCCATGTCGACACGTTGCTGCCTCCAGGATTGGACTCGATGAAGCTCAGAGTCTCACACGACCTGAAACCAGCTAATATTCACCTTTAAGTAGACGTGACAGCACGCTGCAGGTATCTAAACATCAACAGGTGAGGAAACGAGTCTCTGCTGCTTCCTTCTGAGTATACACGTGTTCCGTCTGTCTGCCGATGAACGAAGCTACATGTTATGATCCAGTGTCTGAACTCCTTTACAGCGTTAAATAGTCACATAAAACCTTAACGATAGCACAGATTGCTTAAAAACTACAAGTTCCCACATTTCCAATAAAAAACACATGACTGGGTACAGCGGAGTGTCATCAGCGTAGAAAAGCTGCAGCTTTCTATTTACAGTTCAGCTCTTCTATCGACACGGAACAGGATCCTAGTCTGGACCCGTCCAGAGAGGAAGTTTAAGATCCTTCAGCTCCATAACTTCAGAGTACATATACATATATATCTATATATCTATATTAGTATTTGTTGCTGCACATCAAACAAACCAAAGAAGAATCTGATGAGAAGCTTTCGAGGATCTTAACCTTCCTCTTGGATCAACGGAACGCTGGTTCCACCGCCAAGTCCAAAGACACAACCCAAAGTCTGGCGGCTCCATCCTGCAGCGCCCCCTGCTGGGCTTTAACCTAAATCTCTGCAGCTCTTTGACTCTTCAGCACCTTATGAGCTACAAATCTGTGAAACCTGAAGCTTGTAGGTGTTCATAATTAAACCAGATGTTCATGTCTGGACTCAGTGAGGAGGTCCAGGAGTCGGTTCTACACTCATTCCATGTTATTTAAATTCTGCATCATCATTTGAAAGCTGTGGTTCTGTGATGTTCAGAGATGTTCTTCAGCTTTAAATGTAGTGAATTTAAAGGTACAATCAGGAAACAGGGCGGAGCTTCAGGATGGAGCGACTGAAGGGTTCAAACCTGGAGAACCAGAACCAGACCAGAATCCTGTCAGATGCTGGTTGACGGACGCTTTGGGACAAACTGCTGAATGACCTGCTTCAGGTTCCAGCTTCAGACGTTCTGCTGATGTTCCTGCAGGAATTTCCACTTCACCAGCCGACGGACCGAACCACTCAGGAACCGTCCTTCAGCTGCGTTCTACTGTGGTTCGGTCCGTCGTGCTGCTCCTCAGGGTTTGTAGATCTGGTGGTTTCCTCCGGCGGCGCTGGGCGGCAGCGCTCCGCTGGCTCCGGCCTGGACGTCCACGAAGCCCATCCTCTGCCTCCTCTTCCTCTGCTCCGTCATCTGCACACAGCGAGCAGCAGTTAGCTCTGGACCTCCAGCAGCTCTACCTGAGAACAGATCTACCAGCTGTCTGGTGTCTGGAGTTAGTCCTAGAGCTCCGCCTCTTTCTGCTCCTTTATGTCTTATTTTTGTAGCTTCGTGTAGTTTGTGTGTCTGTTTGCTTCTTCCTGTCATGTGTCTGTTTGTTTTTGTGGTTTGTGCTGTTTTGTCTCATTGAGGTCATTTAGTTTTTGTTGTTTTCGGTTTTGTTTCTGTCATTTTCTTGTCTTCCCGTAGAGGACGTTCTATCGCTCGGTTTAAATACTCGACACAAACCGTCGCTCCACAGGACACAACGTGACTTTGGTGTTTCAACCAGCAGCTTTGAGCCAAAACACCAAACAGACGTCACAAATTGTAGCCGATGAAGTTCAGGTACATGACTGCTGCTGGTTTCAATGACTCTCTGAAGAACCTGTTTTGTCCCTTCAGAGCCTCCGGACTGACAGAACCGGGCCCTGTCGGTGTCCAGCAGGTCCTTAATGCTTCAGCTTGAACTAACAAAATCACAGCGGACCTTTACTTCCTGTTTTGCTGTGAGCTAAAAGTTGTGTTTTAGTCAAAGGAGTCTGGTGGCACCGAGACAGCAGCTTCAGAACCTGACATGTGGACATGAACAGAACACATCCTGAAGCTGATGCGGACCTTTCAGGTGGCTGAACTACATTCTGCTGCCTGCAGCTCGTCCGTCTCCCTGATGGCTCTGCTGCAGTAACACATGATACCTACACACGACTTTACTAAATGACCTCTTTGTCCTTTATTAATACCTAATAGAGGATAAATGTACTCCGGCTTCAGTGGACCAGGTTCTTAGCGTGTAAATGGCTCCACTGACCAGAAGAACAGACTTTACCTGCACAGAACCTTCACACAACGCAGACTGCTGCTCACCTGCTCCTTCAGCTCCGTCAGCTGCGTGGTCAGAGTCGTCACCACCTTCATGGTCGACGCCAGTTTGTCCTGCAGCATCCTCATCTCGTTCTGCTCGCCGTCGCCGTCGGTCACCACCAACGACATGGCCTGCATCCGTGGAAACCAGTCCAGGTTGTTGTCCTGAAACAGAAACAGAGGACGTCAGCCGCCGGACCGCTGCTGCGTCCTCGGGCGGTTCTGCAGAGCTCTACCTTGATCATGTGGGCGACGTAGCTCTCTGGTCCCGTGTAGTCCGTCTTGTTCTTCTCTCGCACCAGGACGATGAAGTACAGGTAGTTCCAGATGTTGTGCTCCAGCTTGATGTGCTCCTCGAACGACACCGTCTTGTTGTCGAACTTGTCTCTCTCCAGACCTGCAGCGACACGAGCCGGTCAGTGACACGACTGACCTGCTGTCAGCTGACCGCCCATCGGCTGGTCATCGGTTCTCACCGCAGATGAAGCACGTCGTCTTCAGGATCTCCTCCTTCTTCTGCTTCTCGCTCCTCAGGTCGGCGAATGTGTCGATGATGACGCCAAAGATCAGGTTGAGGACGATGATGATGACGATGAAGTAGAAGAGCAGGTCGTAGACCACCCGGGCAGGAAACAGCGGCTCCTGCAGGCCAACACAAGGAAGTTCGCTCTCCTGCTGATGATCTGAACGTTTCAGTCTGAGTCGAGTCACTTACGTTTTTGGATGGTTTCCGGAGAACGTCCCCGACTCCTCCTCCGTTCCTCAGTCCGTGGTTCAGCACGGTGACGATGCACATCAGCAGCGTGTCGCAGGCTCGCTCCGTGTTAGCGTCATCTGAAACACGCCGACTCGTTAAACCCTCTGCCATGTTCGATTCAACTAAACAACTTCCTTTCACAGGAAATAACCTGAGTGAGCTCTGCTGTGTTCAAATGACCTTCTGGAGGCCTCAGAACTTTCTGTCAGAGCTTTCCAGCTGTAAATAGGAAAGATTTGAATGATCTGTTGTTTTAAAGAGACATGAAACAGCAGCGAGGGCTCATAAAGGGACCCACACAGTCACACTGATCCTACACAGGTTCTAGTTTGAGACGATGGTTTCTCAGTAAACTTGCATTGAAATAGCCTGAGGACAAGTCAGGCTAACTGAAATAAGCCTGGTTTATAGAACAGGCCTTGCTTTCCACTCGTCAGTCTGACGGTCGGGTTACAGGAGGGTGTACTCGTCTACATCTTAAAGCCATCCATGCCAGGACTAAAACAAACAGCAGTAACCTGATGAATGGGTTTCACGGTTAGTAAGACCTTTCTTTGAACTCTTTGTCCTGGATAAATGCTTTACGCCTCACCGTCCTCCTCGGTGCCGCTGACGGCGTCGCTCTCCGCCGTGCAGTTGACTCCGTCTGCTAAACACGAGTCGAGGAAGTCCTGAGAGGCTTCGCTCTGTGAAGGAGCTGAACAACAAACCCAGAGAGTCAGTTTGGTTATGAAGCTAAAGCTACTGCAGAGACAGACAGCTGTTCGGGTCGGTCAGCACCTGCAGCGATCTGCGGCAGCAGGTCGACCTCCATGATGAAGTCCTCCTTCAGGCACAGGAAGCCCACGATGGAGAAGAGGTAGACGAGGATGAGGGCGAGCAGCGCCGTCAGCAGGATGGAGCGGCCGTTACGAGTCACGCTCTTTATCACGTTGAACAGAGTCTCCTCCCGGTAGATCAGGTCGAACAGCTGCACCGGGACGACACGCCACACATTAGCTTACAGCCGGGTCACGGTTCAGAGAGATGGAACCAGTCCGATCTGGGTGGACTGTCTGTCGACTGCAGATCTACCAGGACAACAGGCTGAAACACATCGTTGGTCTGAGCAGAGACTGTGTCATCTGTTTTATCTGTATGGTTTACAACATGTCATCTCACATGGTCGGGTAGAGACCTCACTCATTATAGACAGAAAACCCACAAGGTGCCTTTGGACGCCCTCTGAGCAAGCGGTCGGCAACAGTGGGACGGAACCAAAAAAGAGAAGACCTTTAATAAATTTGTGAAAGAATCAATACAGGATTGTTTTTGGTTTTTTAGGACAAAGATTCATGTGTTTTACTGATTCTATCCCAGAAAACTCAGAGTTCCAGGAGTCAGTAGAAGACTGACGTGAGGTCTTTATAGGTGGATGGAAACCTGTCTGACTTTAGCTGCTGTTTTCCAGTGATTTCCTTGGTTGATATGACGGGCAGTGTTTACCAGGATGCTGTAGAAGAGCTCGTGAACGAAGAGGCCCAGCGTGGAGGTGAGAACGTAGGCCAGGTGGTACAGGAACTCCACGTCCATCACCATGGCCCTGTAGCCCATGATGAAGGTCCCGTTGTTCCCCACGAAGCTCACCACGAACACCACCTTATTGATGAGCTGGAAATGAGCAGCAGATTGTCAGGCTGCTGGAGCTGTAACCTGCCTGTAACCTGCCCAGGTGGCTGCTGGGTAATGTAGTGTTCCTTACATTGAGCGAGCCCAGCAGGATGAGCGTGTTGCCGATGCCCAGATGGTAGATGGACCTGAGGATCAGGGCGATGGTGAGCGGCTGGAGGCCGTAACGCTGCGAGAACAAACCCAAGACGGAGAGTCCGGTGAGGATCCAGAACAGCATCAGCAGCAGAGAGTCATCGATTGCTCCTGCTGCAGAAACTCAACATTAGACCCAGAAGACTTCCCCGTACCTCGGGTTAATTCACACAAACAGCTGGACACATCTGCATGACTCAGTTAAACTTAAAGGGGAGTGTGACGGTTTCCACTGTTAATGAGTCAGTCAGTTGTTTGGTGAGTAAACGGTCAGAAATGGTGAAAAATATGAAACAGTGCTTCTGAATGATGTTCAGTTCAGGCCTGAAGGTGTCTGTTGGTACCTTGTCCAGAGTTGTAGGGGTAGAAGAAGGCGATGATGAGGTTGATGAAGACGGCGAGGTTGAAGGAGATGGTTCCCCACAGAGTCATCCTCCTGGAGAACCAGTACAGCACCGGCATACCTGCACACAGGAAACCAGTAACCACCGGAGCTCCACACCTGGACCATCAAAGCAGTGAGTACTCACTCCTCAGCTTCTTCTGCCACTCCATCTCCCCGTGGAGGAAGGACGTCTGCTCGAAGAAGTGCGTCACCTTGGATCCCTGCTCGTCCTGCTCGGTGGTGTTGAACACTCTGAACTTGGACTCTTCAGTCAGAAACTCACAGATGGGATGAACCGGAAACACGATCTGCTCCATGCTGCGGTCCTCACGAACGATCTGCACTCAGACAACAGAACTCTCTGTAAGTCATGTCCATGCAACGACCTGGTTCTGGACAAATACTGAAACCATCTGGACACCTTCTAAGTCTTTTTGGACCATTTCTGAGACATTTTGAACAAGTTTAAAATAATTTTGGTGCGATTTGGAGCAATTTTCAAGGGTTAAGTTTCGAAATAACAACAGTAACATGAGCAGTTTTTGGACCTCTATCTGAGCCGTGAGCTGGTCGTAGTACTCCAGAGGGTCCTGCTCCACCACAGCAGCTGGAGCTGAAGACTTCAACATCTGGGACAGAGGACGGTTGTTGAGGTTCAGCTGCAGACACACAAACAGGAGCACAAAGTCAAAAGAATAAAACCTGACTGAAGATAAACAGGATGGATGGATGGATGGATGGATGGATGGATGGATGGATGGATGGAT